TTATGCTGTGCAGTTGCTTACAGCGATAGCTGTTGCAGGTTACTGACGATATTAACAGGACATATTTGTAAGATTTGAGGTTTTCACAGCGGTGAATATGAAGATTTCTGTCTTCTGGGTTGTTGCGCTGTGTAGTCTGGTCGATGTTTACCAACGCCCTGATGACGGAGACAGTAAGACCTTGAAACGTTTGTTAGCATCGACCAGACTGCACAGCGCAACAACCCAGAAGACAGAAATCTTCATACTCATCGTCCTAATGACGGAGACAGTGTGACCTTGAAACGTTGGTTAACATCGACTAGACTACACAGCGCAACAACCCCGAAGACAGAAATCTACATACTCAATCGCCCTGATGACGGATGCAGTATGACCTCTGAAACGTTGGTTAACATCGACCAGACTACACAGCGCAACAACCCAGAAGACAGAAATCTTCATACTCATTGCCCTGATGACGGAGGCAGTATGACCTCTGAAAAGTTGGTTAACATCGGCCATACTACACAGCGCAACAACCCAGAAGACAGAAATCTTCAGGACATATTTGGTATCAAGTAACTGTATTTCATTATACGGAGTGATACAGTGTACAAAATGAAATGTACTCTGACCGCACAACAAAACGTTGGCTGCGGCTTCAGAACTCTGCTGTAGTTCATGCTCTTACAACTGTGTTCTTTGTTGATAATGGACGCAGAATTTCCATCAACAAATTGAGTAACGTCTATCTCGAAGGTGATACTTCTTGGCAACCCAGTTTTTAACTTTTGCCCAAATTCAGTAAGATAGAGCTCGTAATAATGTAATTCTCAGCAGCAGCAGAAAAAGCTGCATGATTTTGGTATGTAAATGATTATCAATTTTGAAATTGCAGTGTAGGGATTTAATGTTTTTAATCAATAGGTATGAATCTTGTTCGGACGTGAGATTTTTGCTTAAGGATTGCCCGTCTTGTTTAATCACGATGCATTTCTTCTGTGGGATTTGTTATTTGAATGTAGATTCATCTGAACATGTGGTATGTATACCATTAGGTGACCCAAATTTTACGGCATCCCGGTGGCAGTTAAAAAGAAAAGTTTTCGTATGAGTTGGAACACTTCCTGCGAAATCTTACTTCACGGATCCCCGGAAACATGCACACGGGGTGGAAGTATTTCTAATAATTTCTTGATTAGTAACAGATGATCGCAACATACAGGGTGGTTTCTGCTCTATGAACTGAATCTTCTCCCACTGCTGAAAGTCAGATGTCAGATCAGTTTAGCGGTTTCCGCGTAAATAAACAATAGTGACTTTTTCTAAGAAAATGATGCCTAGTCTGTTTCTTATTCAGGCAGTTTTTGTGAGATGGAATATGATGTTCGCACTGTTCGGTAGATCAGTACCACGCCCACTATAAATTTTAACCTTTTCCAAGTTGACTGTTACTGAAAGAATGTTGTCGGCCCCTCCTTTATTTGTTCTAATTTACCATATTTTTTTCCTTAGAAACTCCGTGATGTAGTAGAATTATTTAATTACTGTGAACTACAATACAGGTTCATGGATACACTCCGATGTTGCCTACGGAACGTTTTTAACCATCATATTGCGAGGATTTTCAAATTAAGTTCACGCACAAATTTGTCCTTTTAAGTTTATTGACAGTTCGTTGGGCTGACCTCTCTGAAACTTCGTTCATGCGATATTCAGAATTTTTCCGCTTCACTTGCTCTAAAGAGGGACAATTTTGAATGGAACCTGATGTTTTCTGTTTGCTAGTAGACGATACGCCTGCACTAGCGAAAGAAGTTGACTTGTTCGCAGTTCTGCCTTTAATCCTTGACTCAGCCAAACCACGGCGCATGTATAGTTTATTAAATTGAACAGTAATGTCCGATGGGAGATTGCAGAATAGCTGTGATAAATAGGGAGTGGCGTGGGAGCGGTCGTAGCCTTTTTAGGCTCTCTATCCAAGTATTTGCCCTTAACAAGTGAAAAAACGAGGAGACATTTGAGTCAAGATAATTGGTCCCTGGCCCAGATTCGAACCGGATTACTTCCGAGTGAGAGATTGAATCATTTCTCGAATACTGAACAGGACTGCCCCAGAACGAGCTGTGCTAAAAGTGTGGCGGAGAATAATTGCGAATTTACGTATTGGGAACACGTGTAAAACTATCCTTGCCCGTATATGAAACAGTGAGAAGTGTGAATCTTCTAACATAAATGTTGCAGCGAGACGTTGTTTATCGGTGAATTCTGGAACGATATCTGGAGTGAGTGGGATATGTAACCACAATATCCGGTTATCATAACGGCAATGTTTTAATTTATATCCTTATCATTTCGTGAAGTGTCCTCAGTTATTCTGTCTCTGGGCTGTTTGGTTAGTAACAATAATTGATTATTTGAAACGCGAGCTATGGTGACCGTCACTGCAACACAACAGCTTTAAAACATCATATTATCGCATTACGGTTGCATAAAAACAAAAACACCGAGAAAAATAGATGTGAAAATAAAACACGCTATTCTAACTTCATTACACAGGAAGTCATCTTTCCCTCACATGAGTAATGTTACCTTCCATTTCCCATGACGGTATTTTTTTAACTATGGCGTGGTGCAGATCCGCAATTCACAGACCACTAAGACCGCATCAACTACCATTTGCACTATTAAATTCAAAATCAACCAACTGTTCGTTGCTTACACAAATAACTTATCAGCATTAGTGACTACACTAATTAACGATAACAGTACAAGTTATCAGTGGAAACCCCTCTCTTGACATTACTGGACGTAAGAGCCCACTCTAAACAAATGACACCCTGAAACGAACATATTAATTATTGCACGAATGCTTTTCAATCGTGAGTTCAGAATATTCTAACACTACACACACACATTTTTCCCTCGTATACTTCGCCTATTTCTGCTCACATCCTCGTTAACCTTCACCCCTGAGGGTCATTTTAATTTCACCCTCCCATCGAAGTCTCCTTGTCTCAACAACTCGGTTTCCCTTACAATTTGCACACATTTCTTCCCGTAGCCAATGCAATCACCCTGACAACATTTTAATTCAATTCTAAGGGATTCTGACGATGGTAGATAGCATTTTAAATTATTCATCATCAGGACTTTTTCCGTCTTTTCTTTTTAAAAAATCACGACGTTTTGGAGGCTTCTTCTGTCTCCGTCTTCAGATGAGAGGTACCTAATCTGTTGGATCCCTTAGATAGAGCTAGTCTGTCACTGTCCAGTGAAGACAGAGACAGAACCAGCCTCCAAAACGTCGTGGTTTCTTCAAAGAAAAGGTGCCGGAAAAAGTCCTATTAATGAATAATTTAAATTTTGAATTGTTTACAGTTTATTTAATGGCGCTGTAAGTAGCACAGTCAAGCGTCGAATGGCAGGATTACCGAATAATGAATTGAAAATGATATGTAAGGAAACGGTCGTGGTCAACGTCAGTTACAATTTGTCACAATTTTTGTGGAAGGACTGAAGAAACTAAAGAAGACCTGTCATGACAGTCGGTCTCCGAGCCAGAGACTTAAACCCCAGACCTCCCAAATACTAAACAGGAGTGTTAATCATTTGGTCGTGACATTCGGTTTGACAAGATTAAAGAGTAGAAAACCGACGTTTCTATTTATGACATATCTTTCTTCCACCTACTCGCCGGGAAAGTCCTGAAGATATAAACGTCCCGCTAGACTGGTACCAGTTTCCAATCGTTGGATCTAAAACTCAACTTTGATCGACCACGTGGCAGACCTGTGACAACTACGTCAACGCAGGTTTCTCCTCTTGCCCTTTATTAACTCCGTCATTTATTATCGTTCATCACCAGTGTCATCGACTCCAAGAAACTAGCACTCATACATTTCAACCTACCAGTATGCTAACTGGGTCGTATATTGCGATAAAGGTCGTCGACATACAGTTTAGGCTCTAAGCACCTTAATCCTATAAAGCCAGTGGTAACTATACGCACCAACCGTTTAAACTATCAGTAAATGCATTTTCTGTTTATGGGTTTCGAATCTCACTGTCAACAGTGATTATTTTCTTAAACAGCATGAACCAGTTAATATTTGTAATCGTGAAGTAAACATACTAAGCAAATAACTTAAATCGACAGAGCAGTTATTTAACCCGTGCAAGAACACCCACGGTGTCTTAGACACTGCGCGGCATTTATGATTTACAAATCTTCTGTATTGTAAAGATGGTATCATTTTCACAGGAGAATCAGGCATTAATTAGGTAAAAAGCCCCTAATTTCCAAAGTGTAAGAAATTTGATATCAAACGATTACTTTGATAAAAATTCAGGTGGTACGTTAAACTTAATTGTTCAGCAGAAAAATACGTTGAGCACAGGCAACATTAATAATGAAACTTGTCGACGTCAGATTTGACAGGAGTTTCATGTAATTTTATTTCGCGGGCTGAGTCCTACACGTCAAAAGAAACGAGCAAAACATTTATGATATAAATATTTAAAGTCGATTTTTCAAATACACAAGTTATTAAGTGCTGAATTACAGGATAGCAGGGATGACATCGGACGAGCTCGAAAAAAATTTATCTTTGTCTCGTTTAAGCAATGTGACCAATATTTATCAAACTTCATACATTTTTTAAAACGTGTGCTATGGCAGAACGCTAGCGGATTTCCTGCCAGTGTAATTAGCATTATGTTTTAGAGGTCAATAATAATACACAGCAGATTCCTGCCTTCAGCAGCGAGTTGGAAATGACAAACTAAGGGAAATATCTTATACAAATGGCAATTATATCCCCTCAACACCTGTGATTCTGCCTACTTCAGCCAACCATGCAGTAACGCAATCTGTTTGTAACATTAGAAAAGTCAAACTAATCGGAGAAGTCCTAAAATTGTGCACCCATCCTATATATCTCTTAAATTACGCATCACGCTGGAAAGGCAAACAGAAAACAATATCAGCAACAGGATTACAGAAAAAATACGCAGAATGAATGTCTCTTATCGCCTTAGCAATTTATTTTCTTGTTCAAGAGCTGTAATAACGTGCGTCAAGTTCTAATTTGGATCTAATTTTTATATATATATACATATATCTTTATATCACGTCGATGCAACGTAATCTCAATGCCGTACAAAAGGCATTAAATATTTATATTGCAACATGCCATCCATCTTTCACGTAAGTTGGGTTGGCATCTGGCTGTGTGTGTACAGCTTTCGAAAATTCAAGGCTCTGCTCCCAGACGACGAACTCCTAAACAGAACATAAACACACAGAGAAAGAACGTAGCAAATTCTGTTGCTTAAATTACAGAAAATACATTTTTCATGCTTTATATATAGCGTACGTCCTGCAAGTGGGATTTAACTGCCTTACGGTTAATAAGGCGAATCATACGAAGTTCGAAACAGAACTCCAAGCCTTCTTTCCCATCCCAAATTGGGCGTATCCTTCCTCACTCATTTCATGCCTACTCACTTCTTACCACTGCAGACCAACGCGTCAGAAGTCAACACAGATAATGTGAGAAAACGAGAGTTTAGACGATACAAACTACAGCCAAGAAACATTGCTAAATCCAAGCCAAGCAAAGTCAAATCCCAACAAAGCGCCAGTCTATACACCGCCATCCTCGCACTGCGACTACGAAAGCCTCAGAACATAAATTTCCCGTTTAATTTCAAAGCGAATCCAAGAAAAAACTCCACCCTTATTGGTAGCCATCATCTGTGACAATACCAATTTACCGTTAAACATTATAATCATATCCGAAACAGCGCCACACTGTTCTGTTTCTACCAGTTATATACACAACTCCCTGGAATATTCAAACGCAAAAATGCTATACATCAACAATTCTGTGTCAACTAATTAAATCCACCCAGGCAAGAAACCACCTTTGTATTGGAATTTTAAAATTTTATTAAAATTTAGAACAGGTGCGCCAATCATAATGTTTATTTTTATCTCAATCACTACATTACTTGTCTGCTGTCTTCTACGATTTCTTCAGATTTACGATGCCAGATTGCAGCTATGTATACCACTCACACCACAGGAAAAGCTCTGGCCTTGTAGACAAATTTAGTTAAAACCTTAACGCCCACTCCACATTCGGAGAAACAAATACATTTTTGACGTAAATACGCAAAAAAGGGAAACGAAAAAGTGTAACCTGGTTACCTAGGGAACGTCGTGTTTACTCGGCATTGTCGTTACCTAGGAAACGTCAATTGTTTACTCGGCATTATTGTTACCTAGGAAACGTCATCTGTTTACTCAGCATTGTTGTTACCTAGGAAACGTTACATTACATTACTCGGCATTGTTGTTACCTAGGAAACATTACATTACCTTACCTTACACTACATTTCATTACATTACATTCAGCTACCACAGACCCATTTTAAGCGTAACTAATTCAAGTTAAATAAGCAATGTTTTAATCAAACTTATCTCAATTGTAAAGCATGTATAAAGGAAATATTTAGAATAAAGCTAATATATAAACTTCCTTTCCGTATAGACGTATTTACGTCAAATTCTCCGGAACCATGGTTCCACTGTCAATTTTTTTATTCATATGAATTCCAGTTGAATCCTGCTATTAACGAAATCTCAAGGAACCTGGACATTATTCGGTTTCAGGCAGGTTTCCGTTAAGAAAAAGCTATTTCAAAATAAATGCTGCCCAGTATTTGCATTGCATTTATAATTCACATAAAGTCATAAAACATGCAACATATAAAAAATACGCTGTTAATGACCAAGGCAATTTTCCGTATTGTATCTTTCCTTTCTCCTAAAGTGCGTTAAAATATTCTACACTTACTTACTCTGAAGGTAAGATTTACCCCCCCCCCCCCATTAACGAGAGCATTGTTCCTTTTTAGACGAGATCCCTGGTAGCACAGAACGCGTGTCAAAACTACTTGAAGAGAAACCAGTAGACATTTAAGCACGCTACTTTTCATTATATTACTCTATTCTCCATGGCAACCCCGTGTTTCATTTTATTAGGATTAATTTTACGTTAATTTTTACAATCAAACGCCAAAGACATTCCAATAAAAACTATTTCCGTGTAATGTAAGTTACACTTTAAGCAGGTGTTGCTGTGATTTCTTTACTAAATTCTCGCATGCTTTTTTTACCAACATTCGGTCCCACAGTCGCGCCATAAATAGGCGTACACCTGTTTCACCTGAACACGACACAAGGTTTGAAGGTCATGCATTCTCTCCTTTGCATCATGACGATAAAAATATTTATTCGCTTTCCACATGCCAAGTTTAATTTCATCGCGACTTCGAATCTGCATTTATCGCCAACATGAGATCTAAAACAAAGGACGAGGTACTTTATAGGCAGCAAAATATTTGAACACTTCGCATGTATACCATATGTAAATCTTATCTAACTTCATATTTTTATAATCACAGTTTTGTTGATAACGCGGTGATTAATGAAACAGTTATAATTTGAAAATACTATATCCACAGGCAGGAAGAAAGACGCATCATCAAAGCAGACCTCCGGCCGTAATTCGAATCTAGTAATTCACATGTGGTTACCACATCGAAGCATTCCGTATGCAGTTACGATACATCTTGAATAGTAAATGAGCTATCGAATGATTATAAGAAATTAAATCTCATAACCTATATCTGGATGGATGATCACCTCTGCTTAGGCATGTGAACGTGAGGCCAGCAGCCAGCTAGTCGGCTTTTGCTCTCAGAGGGCTGTTACGCCACGGATCATTATTATTTATTTAAACTGAGCTTTCGTAAAACGGCACGCTATATAAACCACGGACTTACCTATTAAAGTATTTATTCCGTCGAACATACAATATCTGCATCACAACAGCGTGCCCCTTTTCCCAAGCAATGCACTAGTGCTTCCACACCATAAGTACAATCACTGACTGACTGTATCTACATGATATTACCCTGAGAACCACCCCCCCCCCCCCCAAGCAGATGGCGTTCAGCTCGCAATCACGACGATATTTTTGGCTTCACAAAACTTGCCAAGTTTTCGTCTCCTCCACTGCAAGCTCTCTTCGTCCTTCTACTGTGCACTTCTTGAGTAAATTACACAAAAATTGTAAACGAATAAACTTTCGTTACGTTTCCTAAACCACGGTCACCGCCAGGACTTTTGCCAGGGGAGGGGGGGACTAAAAAATTTGCTTACAAATACGTTTAACCAGTACGTGAACTACTTTTGTAGTCAGTATACAATAACATTTTTAATAATGTTAATTTTTGGGATTAATATTTGGTATGGTTCCTTTTTCCAGTATTTAAAAATTGTTTTTAATCGGGAGAGGGCCAGGGAATTATCTGACACCACACCTGCATTTCAAACCAATCTGGTTAAAAAGAACTTCCGCTCCGTCATTTTAGCACTGATATGTTACTTGGCAAAATAAAGATGAAAGGAAACTGCTATGAACACACTAATTACTGCTGCACACCTATGGCCTTTAGAAACACATAAAATTTCTAATACAAGAGTAGGCTTCATGGCCAGGAAACTTGATTACATTACTGTGAAGCAGTGGGGTTATAAAATCATAAAATGTCATTTTGGTACAAACTCTACCAAGATAACTTTTAACCAGTTCCTACGTCTAAAAAAACCTTCACACAACAACACTTTTGGCATAATTTCTAAGTATTTTATATTTTTAGTCACCATAACCGATGTGGACCATCCCAATTAACGTATTTGCATACATAAGTCATTAACAGCTCCCCGGAGCTTTTCTAAAAATAAATTATTCTATTAGCTTCACTATTCATATCAGCAGCCTATGGATTTTCACCATACTTAAAACAAAGACTGGTTTCATGAACATCATGGCATTGGTGGTCATGATGTGTCCATACTTCTTTAATTCCCTACAATTAACAATGCCATGCAATGATATTCCAGAGTGGAGGTAATCCAAATGCAATACTTGAAAAAATATGGAGCAATTGTTATTTTCGCTGCATTTACTTTTGTTTAAGAACAACTTATAAACAATTTTTGCTAGACACATGAAATCTGGTATGTTTTCTATGAAAATTATTGTTAATTATAAATGTGGCAACAGCTAAAAACTCTAAGGTTGTATCAACATCAGGTAACAAAATATACACAAGCAGAATTTTCTAAGAGACAATGCAACAATTTAAAATTCCAGACATCTTTCCTATGAAGACAAAAGCAATTTTTAAAAAATTATGTGCCAAGTCTTTTCTAGAGAATTTTGTTAATGAACACATATACAATCCACTATTCAAACAAATATAATGAAAACCTGCCAAAAATAAATGCATATTAATTATTACTTAAACTTACAACACAAGAAAGTCACTGACTCATTGAAGTACAGTCTTGTCAAATTTTGGGACTTTTGTAACTTCAATCTGCATCTTTTATGTCCTAGAGACCTGAAGATCTGTAGTTAATTACATTGAGCAGGGCCCTGCTTGAGAAGCAAACAGTCAATCAACTAGTCAATAATTACTCAAGTCTTTTATGGACCCTAAAGATTCATGACTATGATCAAACAAGAACACCTATGAACCCTATTCTGTTGCAGCAGAATCAATTCACACCAATAAACCCTATTAATCCTTTACAGCTCAGTGGTAAAGTGCTTTATATGGTTCTCAGCAAATATTCCCTTAAACAGCACTAACCTACTGATCATTATCATAGGGAGGTGATGAGTTGTTCTTTGCAGTATGAATTAAACTATTATACGTTATTTTGACAAGCCTCAACTTAAAAGGATTAATATTATCCCATTTATGCCCTGGTCTCATTAAGTGGTTTCTCACCTAACCCATGCATGTTACTTGTTCAGCCCATCTCATCCTCCCTGATTTAATTATTCTAACAATGTCTGAAGAGCACAAAATATGAAGCTCCTCATTATGAAATTTGTTCATTCTCCTCTTATTTTTTCTCTGTTAAAGATCAACACTTCATCTCAGCACTTTACTTTCAAAAACTTTGAATCTATTAGGATGTACTGGAGTATCTTGTTATAGACGTAGCTGTATTACTATTAAGTAACCATATCAACAAAACAAAATTTGTAAATAAATGCACTATGTCTTGACATTTATTTTTCTAGGCAACATGTTTCAGACATATTAGTCCATCTTCAGGCCATTGTCTATCTACACAAATTGTTCTATTATTATGAGCATTTTTTAACAAATACACCAAGTGATGGGATGAGCCTCAACTGATCATACCATAGCAACAACTCTGCTGAGTACAACACATTGCAAAGTACCTAAGTCATTTGAAGACAATTAATCATAACAGAACAATTCACATACACAGACAGCAGCCTGAAGATATCCGAAACACATAGCGTAACAAAACAAACATCAGGACATATGGTAAATGAAGGTATAGTGCATAAATTAGAAGTATTGTTGTGTAGAGACAGTTACTTAATAAAAATATATCTCCAATTTATATTTTCACCATAAATTGAAAGACCAAGTTTCACACCATGCAACAGGTACAGTATAAAGATTTCCGTCTTCTTGGTTGTTGCGCTGTGTAGTCTGGTCGATGTTAACCAACGTTTCAGAGGTCATACTGCCTCCGTCATCGCCCTGATGACAGAGGCAGTATGACCTCTGAAACGTTGGTTAACATCGACCAGACTACACAGCGCAACAACCCAGAAGACTGAAATCTTCATACTCACCGCTGTGAGAACCTCAAGTCTTACACAGGTACAGTATACTTTAATCATTACGTTGTTAGATAGAAGATGATCATATAAAAGATTCTGAAATGAATGCTAGTAATCACTATCTGTAATTGTAATTTGATCTAAAATTTAAGTTTGTTATCAAGATGAACTTCGGTTATTGAAATTTTAAATAATCTAAAGTTTCTTTGACATTAACCTTATTTATATCACTAAATTTTGGTGAAATAAGCAATGTCAAACCAAACTTGACTAAAATAAACTAGTGACTTTGCCACAAACCTTTAGCCTCCATAAACAATATCTGGTATTAATAATTACCATAATGTTCAAAAATATCCAGTGTTTCAGCAAAAGTTTGATTGTGCACAATTTAAGATTAGACTTAAACATTTGAAATAAACTCTGGAAATAAAGGAAGCAGAATAAATATAGCATTCTTGAGAAAGAAGTCACCCTCTCCACATTACACCTCTACTACTATAACCATTCTGATGTCACACTCCTAACATACACTAATTCTCTTTTCTGTAACATATAATCATTCTTTAATCTTCAAATTTCTGGCTTAACACTAAAAATCACAATTCGTGACAAGACGTGTTTTTATTCCATACATATATAAATGTCAAATGACCAATCCCTACCTCACACACACAAAAGAAATCTTACAACATGAAATCATTATCAAAAGATTTTTACTGAATTTTGCAGCCAAGTGCTTCATACTTGGGAGGTCCTGGTTTCTAATCTAAGTCTAAAGACTAACTATTCTAACAGTTTTTGTAGTTTTACTCACTCCCTCCAGGATGCCAAGACAGTACCTTAAATTAGTCCACAACTGGTTTCTTTCATATCCCTCCCAATTCATTTTTCCTATCATTTGACGGTATACAATCAAAGTGACTGGCTGTGTTACACAAAACAAATGCTTAAGATCATTTATAAGATTATCATAACAAACAGAACACTATACTCATAGCAATAAAATATTTGCAACCTTGGTTATGGTGTCTTCAAACCAACAAAAATCTAAAAAAAATTGTATCTGTGCAGAAGTACACATTTGTATCATATTTTATACTTTCTACACTTCTGCAGTTGCTCACTTTGGTTGCCAATCAGTTAAGTAAATACTTTCTTAATGTATAAACCAGCTTAATACAATAAACAAACAAGTTATTATTTCGGATCACAAGTCAAAGTTTTGACGGTGCGTTGCAATGGGCCCCGCTAATTTTCAAATAAGATCTAATAGGAGTGGAGGGTCTTCACCAAGTTTTCAGAAGTGGCAGTCAACGTAAGTTTTTTAATAACAAAGTGTGCTCAAAATGTGAAGCAGTACGGTAGAATGTTTTGATTTATATTAATTAAATGAAACGTAATAACTTTAACGTTATTTCCCACACTTCTGTAACTGCCATAATGGAGCAGCAATGCGTCCAACAAATATCGGTTCTCAAAAAATTAATGAAACTGCTCTGGAAATATTTCAAGCCACATGTCCCTCGTCACAATCCAATCTGAATATTCTGCAGAATAAAATGTAACGCCTACCTTCATGAAATCTATCAGGTCCAGGACTCGTCCTATGTTTCGGATGTTCAGCATCGGCCATATTGAATAAGAATATACGTAATTTTCGTATCAACCTTACAACTTGTACTTGTTCTATCACGGAGTTTTCATTCTGCGATGTTACAAACCTGCATATGTTTGAATTTCGTTTGAACGTGCGGCACAGAACTCACAGCTTCTCTGCTTATTTAGCAATGGTTGAATAGTACTGATCGAGTACTTCAAATCGACGTACGACGGTGAATCACGTCAACCACACTAGAGTCGTTGGCGTTTAACGGGCGGTATGGCTTTGGTATAAAGGTAGTTTAGCCATAAAACTGTTAGCTACCATTCTGTTTCCATAATATTCTGCCTCCGACAATCATCAACGGTGACGGCAGATGGAACATACAAAACCAACGACTAATTCTGAAAACATACAAGCAGGAGAATGTGTACTGTGTGATCAGCAATGTCTATATTTAAAACAATCAAAAAATCTAAACATTGGCAGTTCTTAAAAAGTGCAGAATTATAGAAAGCTAATGCCACATCTGTACATTCACCGTGTGACCAAATTCCAAGTGAGAATTCTTGTTCAGTGCTAAAAAATACAGAACATTTCTTCTTTCCTACATAATTTCCCTGCTGCTATTTTAATGTTATTACCTAAATATGTGTAGGTGATATATACAGAAATGAGGTTTGCAGTTTATTAGCAAAAAATCAATTTCATTGTATGACAGAACAAGATAAAGTTGTCATCACTAATATAATTTCTTGAATCTATTGCCACTTTGTCATTTAAGTGATTTAATCGAACGATTTTCAGACTGCTCTGGATGTTTCTTTTTTTTGGGGGGGGGGGCGGTTCTTTTGCCAAGCTGGAGGGAAGCAAACCTTGTGGACCGCTTACCTGGCCATTAATAGCTTCCTTCAGTCAAAGTAGTCATGCTACCATCTATCGGTGACCCTCACAAACAAGTCATTCCACATAATACTAGGATTCAAATTAGCAAATCCGGTTCTGTGCCGCTGCAGTTTCGTCCACCACATTCTTATTAATTTCCTGGAATCGACAGTACCAACCTGACAGATCCTCGAAGTAGGAAGGTAGAACAGGCGCCATTATTAGTGATGCTGACATCATGTTAGGTGGCGATCCCACCCCCTTCCCCTGTACGCATTTTAAAATTCCAGAACAGTTTAAATTTGGTGATGAGATGATGTCATTGCAGCCTTGTCCGAAATATCGCCAACAAAACGAGTAGTGAGATGGTAGCCATGACAACCATGATTCAATGCAAGTGCGCGTCAATATCACTTTAATAGTTCCCACGAATTACATCGTTAGCATTGACCTTGGGCATTATCGAGACTATGCTATTACCTTTCTTAACCTGATGACGCAATCACCACTGATATATCTGTACTTTTGCAATACCTCAGGAATGACTGCATTTTCATTAAATTTGGTTTCGACCATATACTAATGGTCTAACCGAAAAGTAAACCTATCCAATCCTGTTACTGGCTACTGTTTGTGTGATACAGCTTATGAATCTAACTGGTGAAGTGCAAAGCTACTACATTTCATCACAGAATGTCTGTTGTTATGCATAGGTATCAATACAAAAATAGCTGAACCATCAAATATTGTTTTATACATCTTACATCTATGGTGCAACAGCTACTATTGTCCTAGTTCACACAAATACATTGAGACTGATTCCTATTAAATTATTGATAAATGTGAATATGTGATGTATACATACACACAGATACACAGGGTTCAACATCATACTTTTTCACATACTGATTTTTAAAATATAGGAAAAATAGTTCCTGGTTTAAATCTGGCTGGTTTGTTGCTTCCCTGTGGGAGGAAGTCCATCTTCTTGACATTCTTTATTACAGACTTTGGCAACCAAATGAATGTAAAATAATTCTCAACATTTACACAGTGTCAAAGGTTACAAAAATATGGATTTTCAGATGTCAAAACATGTATGAAGATAAGAGATCAGGTTCACAATGCATTTACCATGGGAACCCTACCTTTATACATTGTATGAACCTGGATACTGTTATAAGGGGGAAGTCTCAAAGAAATTAATCATTTGCCCTCCTACTGGTTTCTTCCCCAGTGGTTTTAAATTTTCAGGCCAAAATATAGTTATGCATTTCTCCTGTATACATGCTATATATCCTGCCCACCACACCTTTCTTCATTTGCTCACCATGACAGCACTGAGTACAGAGTACTGTCCACAGACCAGGAGAAAAGCCCTGCGGGTGGAAGTCATTTCTGGGGCGGTACAGGAGGAATATTTACTATCAAGTGGACTAGATGGCTGCTATTGGTTGGAAGTCTGATACATCAGAGTTTTACACTACTACACACAAACTGAAAACATCAACCAGTTAAGAGTAGTGTGTAGTGAGTGCACCTCTAATGTGTTCTGTGGGTGTTGTGATAATATTCTAGATTAAATAACTGTGCCACTGTGAGGTAATCTTAAAGCTATACCCATTAGAACACATGAAAGCCTGTTGTTAGTTCAGTGGTTGTGGAATGAGTGCTTTTAGGATGGGTCGTCACCACGAAATCTTGCGCATGCGCGTGTATCGAATTCCTAGCAGGGATTTTCTCCTGGTCTGTGGACTGTACAAATATGAAGCTCCTGATAATTAAATGTCCTCCAATTCCAATGGGAGACCAATTTTCAAGCACTTACAATACAAGTAAAATTGTACATAAATATTTAGTATTTACAATACAGACACTGGAACAAAAACAATTATAATCTGAGTAATAGCAGGAGTTTCCAAAATTTAATCTCCTGCGATGTTCATAATACTCTTCACAATACTAGTTATCACATCAGTCTTTTAATTACATTCCTTTTAAAGTGACATAAAAGACTACAAAATTTAACAAGAAACTGTACACTGAATGCATTCTACATATTTTCTAAAATCTTCAAAACAGCTTCATTTTTCTGTATACTAGAAGGCCGCTAAACACTTTCAGGAAAAAAAAGGTAATACCATGAACCTCTTTGAGAAGTCTATAGATGCATTTAAAACTGAAAATTACTTCACTATTAAAATGAATAAATTTCATAATGAGTGAATTCTGCAGTAAACAATGCCAGCCAAAAATCCAAATATAATATTAAATTCTGAATTCTTTTTTTTAGCCATAACTCTCATGTGTCTCTACAGGCCTTGTTTGTTTTTACACATTCATCCTTTGGTAGTTGAAGTGAAGATCAGAGTCACATTAGGCAAAATATGTTTGATTTGTAAACCATCTTTGTATGCATTGGGCTGAATATGGTGGCAAAACTGCACTCACACCATAATTTTACTTAATTAAATTGATCACACCAAAATGAAAGCCAAATATTTCTTTTATTATATAAGATAGTGCAACAAAATATAAAAGAATACATTATCCATTTTATAGTGTAAGTTTTATTTAGAATATGTTTGTTATTTTATATCTGACCATTTGACTGAATGAAGTTACAACTCAGAAGAGTAGGTATAACCTGAAAATTTTCTAAGCTATGGTGCAGTTGTTGATCTTTTCAAAATGAAACTGATATGCTGGCACCTGAAGAACATAGCACACAGTACGTTAAAAATAATAATAATAAATGCTGGACAGAAATGAACAATATGAACTACTTTTATTAAACTTCATTCTTAGTGAGGAGGCTACATTTAATCTGTTATGCAAAGTGTCACCATAACATTAAGACCAGGGAATAAAAAATCCACAGAAAGTGTGTACTTTGCCACATTTTCAAATATATGAACCTTGTTTTAACTAAATAATTCAACATAAAGATACATTATTCAACAGTCATAATGTCACAACATGTTATTTTTCTGCAGGACTGACAACTCCACAATTTTCTCAATGCTGAAGTAAATCATTTCCGAAGTGTGGGCCTGTCCATTCCCCTGATTTATGCCCTACAAAATCAAATATATATTTATTATTCGCAGTCTATACACAAACGTATTTAAAATGTTGTTGTTAAAATTTATATAACACTATAACATCTGTAGTATAAAAATATTACAATAAGTTATATTATGTTATATTATGGCGCCATAATATAACATAATATAACTTATTGTAATATTTTTATACTACAGATGTTATAGTGTTATATAAATTTTAACAACAACATTTTAAATATGTTTGTGTATAGACTGCGAATAATAAATATATATTTGACTTCAACACAAACATGACGCACTTAAGCTACAAAAAGCCCTACAAAATGTTCATATTCAAGAAATATGGAACACACAAGAGAACCACACAGAACCATATACACCATAAGATTAAATTTCATAATTATGATGCTAAATTATCCATCCCTATACATATATTCAACAATGCATTCTCAGAAACTGGGGGCTTAGACCGATAATAAACAGATCACAGGAAACATGTAGATATTTATTAATATAAATAAAACTTACAAAAGCACTGATATCCAGAATTATAAAAGAAATATTCAACTTTAACTGTGGGTATATTCATTTTGCGGCATGCCATACTTACGAAAACATTTTCTTTATAGAAGCTGCCAATTTAGCATCACTTTCCCTTTGCCACTGTTTCAATTCCCGTAGTTTCTCTCTTGCTGCTGCATTTCCTGGCTCTAGTTGTTGTACCCGGTTCAAATCTTCTTTAGCTTTATCAAACTCTTGACTCCCCATGTAAGCAACAGCTCTTCGAAAAAGAGCCTTAACATTATTAGGCTCTAGAAACAGAACTTTGTTGCACATTTTTATTACATGACAATAATTCTTATACTGAAGTTGACACGAAGCAATGTTGTTGCATAATATAACACGTAATGACATTACATCATCCCTCTGCACAGCAGAGGTGTAATCTTCAACAGGTATAATAGTTATCAGAAATTTTATAGCTTTGCTAAATCTCAAAAAGGCATCTCTAGTCCTGCCACACCTGTAAAGCTCTACACCACGTACCTTATGATACATAGCTAATTCATATTTCTTACTGTCATTCCACTCAAAAATATAAGGTTCATTGTGTATTTCTTTCAAATGAACTTTGCACTTAACAGTTCTTGTTTTTAAACTAGTTTCACTACATAATTTTGGAGGAAATGTCAAAATAATCATGCTTACTTCCATGTGTAGCATTGCCTGAATACATCTCTCAAGACTTCGGTCTATATCTGTATCACTGTCACCTATAATCAATGATCCATTAAATTCCAAACCCAAATAAATGGACATCGTTGCATGCTGAACTTCATCCAGGGCAATATTTTCTGTCACAATATCATCAATGATTACAGTACACTTTCCACCCTCTCGTGGTCTGTCACCCCATACACCTTGAGTTATAATTTCCTTATGGCACAAAATAGATTGAGAATTCACCATTTCAATATTAGTGACATCCAACTTTTACTTGTAGTACATGACTGTAAATTTATTTGAGATGTGAAGTCTTGGGTAGTGTAGCAGTTCATCTTCTTTTCTGAAATTTCATAATTATTTAGTTGTTTATGGCAAGTATGTTTATATAATTCAACCTTAGAATAAAAACATAATCAAGGCAACACCAAATAGTTTTGGGATCTCTTATACAGCCAGTTTTATTTTAATGCAAAAGCATTTTCGAAAACATGTAACAAAGCATTATAATTCAATGATATCAATAGTCTCGAATATGTATAAAGAAGATAAGATCCAACAACTTTCTGCTGTTTAATCGTAGTCTCGAATCCCTAGTGACACCATTATGAACGCTGTTAAAACAGCAGTTTAGAAAGTGAATACATCGAGGTGTGAGCTAACAAGTACAACCATGAGAATTCGTCTTTAACTTTGCAACTACTTACCACAACCTTCAGACACATTACTAACTTGAAACACACACTTAACCCTAACTTCACATACAAATTAAATTGCAGATGCCATTTTCCAACATCAATGCAGCCAACACTAAAAGCTCATAAAAACCGCTATCACAAGTTACATCTGTCTTGCAGAACTCGCCCTCGTTGGTAATGTAGTATAATTTTTAGGACTAAATTCAGACGAAGGTTGGTAGGACTTGCCTATTGAATATAGTTTGAAGGGTTGTGACATTTTACCCCTAAAAAGGCAGCATAACCTTTTTAATTATTCTCCCCTACGGTGTTCAGCTTCAGAGGCCACATAATAAATTGAACACTTATTTTAACATGAATTATATAAGAAAGAAACTGTTTGAATGGCGGGTTTAGAATGTGAACGTAAAGCATATGTAATAATAATAATAATACTTTATTTCCTGTAGATCAAAGATACATTGATATAGGATAAGTCAATCTATATTATACATTATCACCATACAATAATGAATATGATATAATTCCGTTTGGAGATATAGCATTATACATATTGAATTATCAGTAGCCAATATTCGAAAATTCTTCATTAAGATAGTCTTATAGTGAATAGTAACACCCCTTAATAAGAAAGTCCTTCAATTCCTTCTTAAACTGATTGTTATTTCTTATTTGTTTTATTATGGTAGGCAGTTTGTTATAAAAGAAACAACCTGCTACTAACTGTTTGCTATTATAAAGTTCTAACTTATGTACATATTTATGATAATCATTATTTCTTCTTGTGTTATATGTACTTGTTTGTTTACAGTGCAGAATAAATATTAATTAATAACTGCAGCCTACTCATTCAATTAATATTTAATTATTTATATACATTCATTTTCTTCACACGACGTTATTTGCGAGACACTGACAACGAAGCTGACTACATAAAATGCACTTGCATTTACGGTGCGTACCTATTTGTAATAAGATGTGTACTTTTCTAACTTTGTTTCATATGAATAATAGTATAAAGGACAGTAATGAAGCTACATTGGAAATATTATATTGAAAATGTTTCGTAGCATTATTTGTCTGCCTGGTGCGTAGTTCGCCCTTTCTATGTTTAAAGCATGATAATCGGAAAGTAACCTTGAGGCAATGTAACATTCTTATGTATCCTATTCAACTTCTAATAAAAATAAATAGAGGCGCATTTTCACCCACCAGCATATTTTGGTTTTCATCTTTCCATATGGTATTCCTAACAAGATGCTACACGTTTTTTCCACTAAAAGTCTCAGTTGTTTGTAGTTACAGCAAGTAATTTCAACAAATATTTAATGTAGATATGGTGCAAATATTTCAATTCAGTACCTTGCTACGAGATCTTTATTTAAATTTTGGACATTTAAACCCATAGTGTCGGTGCATCACAGTGTACATGATCCAGCTGGCTGTCCATCATGCTAGCATACTTCATTTGGCATCTCTGTAATATATGGATTTACATACTCTACTTTCATATGACAAAGGTTAAAAGGAGTATTGAAAACAAGTACATAAGCAGTTGGACTTTTGAGGAATAGTAAAATAATGATGTGATAATTCTTCTTCTTTCAGTAATTCTTAAAAAAAAGGCTGGACCAAACATGAACAATTAAAATGGATGTTATTAGCTATACCTTCTTCTTCTTTGGCGCATCAGCCTGAAGTCAAGGCTTGGCCTCCTCCCATGTTAGATGTTTCTTTGTCTTTGCAGTGTGCATTTATGAGTAGTGAGTGATTACATTGGGGGGGGGGGGGGGGGGGGGGGG